GCGCAGGGCGTTTTGGTAGCATTTTAGGGATCTTAGGGCTTTAAGAAGGACAAAACCAGCCAGGAGTGGTGGCACATCCTTGTAATCCTGGCACTCGGGAGACCAAGGCAGGATGATCCCTTGGAGTTCAAGGCCAGCCTGAACTGCATGGTAAAACCCTGCCGAAGAAGAGGAAAGGGGGAAGGGGTGGGGAGGAAAGGGGAGGGGAGGGGAGGGGGAGGAGGAGGAGGGGGAGGAGGAGGAGGGGAAGATCAAGAACACTCAGATAGTTATACACGGTAGAGCAACCTGTTATGATGCAGTGCATCTGCCCGAGATGGGTTACAGGACAGCAGCCAATCAGCAGTGAGGAGAACTGAATAATGCCCTCGGATTGGCTAGTTGCAAGCCTCCTGCCCCGCCGCCCCCAAAAAATTGTGGAGGATATTTGCAGTTTCAGCAAAATTGCGGGGGTTTCAGCAAACAATTATTAGGTTCTAAGGAAAACTCCGCGAAGGACTGAACTCACAAACTGAACCGCGGCTTCGCGGGGGTATACTGTACACTGAAGGAAAGTTCACCTCTTTAATAAATGGTGCAGAGGGGTCGGGGAGAGAAAGAAGAAAAGGAAATGAAGAACGGTATTGCTTTTCCTACCAGCATTACAGTAAAAACTGTATGTCACACTTCTCCCCTTTGAAGTGTGACCAGGATCATATTCTCAAAGAAGGTGACTTTGTCAGAATTGACCTTGGGGTGCATGTGGATGGCTTCAATGCTAATGTAGCTCACACTTTTGTCAGTGGTGTACCTCAGGGGTCCCAAGTAACAGGGAGGAAAGCAGATGTCATTAAGGCAGCTCAGCTATGTGCCGAAGCTGCCCTGCACTTAGTCAAACCTGGAAACCAGAACACGCAAGTGACAGAGGCCTGGAACAAAGTTGACCACTCATTTAACTGCACGCCAGTAGAAAGTATGCTGTCACATCAGCTGAAGCAGCGTGCCATCGATGGAGAGAAAACCATTATCCAAAATCCCACAGAGGGGCTGGAGATTTAGCTCAGTGGCACAGCGCTTGCCTGGCAAATGTGAGGTCATGAGTTCGATTCCTGGTACTGGAAAAAAAAAACAAAAAAACAAAACAAAACAAAAAACCAGAATCCCACAGAGCAGCGGAAGGAGGACCATGACAAAGCTGAATCCGAGATCCGTGAAGTATATGATGTTCTTGACCGCTCAGGAGAGGGCAGAGCCAAAATGCAGGGCAGAGAACACCAATTACAAACGAGACCCCTCCAAACACTGTGGCCCGAAGACGCAAACTTTGCGTGCCTTTCTCAGTGAGGTGGAAGTGCATTTTAATTTAAGAGCACTGGAAGATGAGCAGAGGGCCCGGGGGGTGGGGGT